GTGAGTGAGCGTAAATAAAACTCCCGTTACCTTTTAGAACGGTCATTTACCAATATGTATTAAAAGCCTTAAAAATGGGGGCGCCTGGGTGGCTCAGTCATTAGGCATCTGCCTTCGGCACAGGTCACGATCCCGGGGTCCTGGGATCGAACCCCGTGTCAGGCTCCCTGCTCAGCGGGGAGCCTGCTTCTCCCTCTCCCACTCCCCCTGCTTGTCTTCCCTCTCTCACTGTGTCTCTCTCATGGAGCGTTTATTCTGTGGCAGTCGCTCTTCTAAGCAATCTTCCCAACCTGTTACTAACCACCCCCTTTCCAGATGAAAACACAGAGGTGCCCACGGTGGCTCATCACCGGGCCTGGAGCCACGTGGCAGTGAGTGGGAAAGCCAGCCGGGAACTTGAGTAATCTGGCATGGAGGCCACCCTCTTAAGAGGTAGGTTACCCTGCTTTTCTAAAATCTCCCCTAGTGGGGCGCCTGGGTGGCTCAGTTGGTTAAGCGACTGCCTTCGGCTCAGGTCATGATCCTGGAGTCCCTGGATCGAGTCCCGCATCGGGCTCCCTGCTCGGCAGGAGTCTGCTTCTGCCTCTGACCCTCCCCCCTCTCATGTGCTCTCTCTCTCTCATTCTCTCTGTCTCAAATAAAAAAAAAAAAAAAAAGAAAAGAAAAAAAATAAAATCTCCCCTAGAGGGGCGCTTGGTGGCATAGTCAGTTAAGTGTCCGACTCTTGGTTTTGACGCAGGTCATGATCTCGGGGTCATAGGATCAAGCCCTGTGTCGGGCTCCACACTCAGCCCGAGTCCGCTTGATACTCGCTCTCCATCTCCCACAGCCCCTCCCCTCAGCTCACAAGCACACACATGCACGCACTCTCTTTTAAATCTTTTTAAAAAAATAAAATCTCCCCTAGAAATTCATTTCATAGAAGTGTGAATCTGAAAGCATACAATGATTTACACCCAAAGACTATAACCAGGAAAAATTAGAGAGTATCTAAATGTGTAATACAAGACTAGCTAACTGATTAACCAAAAGTATGGAATGCTGTGTAGCAATTTCAAATTATGTTCCTCCAGAAGGCTGAATAATGGTCCCCCAAAGATATCCACATCCTCATCCCCCGAACCTGTAAATGTTACTTTATATGGTCAAAGAGATTCTGCAGGTATGAGTAAACTAAGGATCCTGAGATGGGGAGAGTATTCTGGATTATCCAAGTGGGACCAATGTAATTACAAGAGTCTGTACGAGAGCGAGGCAGGCCCACTGAGCTACTCCCCCACTGATAGCAGGAGAGAGATGATGGAAGCCGGAGGCTGAGGTAATCAGAGGAAGAGGCCAGGAGCCAAGGAACGCAGGTGCCCCTAGAAACCAAAAAAGGGAAGGAAACAATCTCACCTGGAGCCTCCAGAAGGAATGAAGCCCTGCCGACACCTTGACGTCAGCCCAGTGACACTGATTTTGGACTACTGACCTCCAGAACTGTAAGATAATAAACTGGTGTTTTAAATCACTAAGTTTGTAGAAATTTGTTAGAGCAGCCATAGGTCTTGAATATATTTCCCAAAGAATACGGGGAAAGGTTAATGCAATATTAAGTAAAACAGTTCACAGACAATGATCCAAATTTTGATTTTTAAATAATGTATCTATATGCACAGGAGAAAAAGAAAAGGAAAAGACCTTTGCCACAAGGTAACAGTGGTCCTATCTCTCAATGATATTAGTACAGGGAGTTATGGTCTTAGTTCTGGTCATTTACACTTTTACAAAGAGCCTTTGTTACACTTTCATAATTAGATAAAATAACTAAGTACTTTAATAAACCTTTTATAGAAAAACAAATTTTCTGGTAACACAGTGGCACAAAGATTCAAAATATATTTAAGATTTAGGTTTTTTTAAATAAATTTTATTTATTTTTAAGTAATCTCTAAGATGCCTAACATGGGGATCGAATTCATGACCCTGAGATCGAGTCACACACTCCACCAACTGAGCCAGCCAGGCACCCCAAAGATTTGGTTTATCTGTACACACAGTAGAGCTTAAAAGGGATCTATTTCCTAGGAACTGTGTTTAATAATTTGTCTGTGTCTACCTTAGAGCTCCAGGCAAAGCTTTTCCCTCGTTTATTCTGAACAGGCTTATCATGTGCCATATCACCTACTCATAGGGCCTAGCTAGAGCTGTTACTGGATCCACTGTTTACTGGATTTAATTTCTATAAATTCTTTATGTAGAAGACCTGGTGATCTTTCCATACAAAGGTACACCCTAAAAGATGGTATCTGCACAATTATGGATTTTCTGTTAATAAGTATGCCTCTAATACAGGTGTAATCAAAACATATTTGACATCAAATACTAAATGGAAAATAAACAGTTCAAACAATATATGCCAGGAAGATTTAATGAGCTATGTTTTAAAAGGAGACCAAGTAGAGGAAATGTATTACCTGGGCAAACAACAGGTCTGACAGCTAACATTCCTTGCAGCTCAGGTTCTTCTACTTTGCATTATAATAGAATATCACTCAGATTATAATTCTGAGTATAGCTAAAGCATATCTGAAATCATTTCTTTGCAAATAAGAACACAATTCAGGGGAGAGGAAATTACTTGTATCACCCCACAGTCATCTAGTTTAGATACACCAGCTTTTTTAATGAACTTTTACTGAAATAGCTCCAGAGAAAACTGAACTGTGTTTAGGCCACAAAAGGGTAGCATTCAGTTCAATTACACTTTGGCTGTAAAAGTACCACTTTCATAACTAATTGCATACTCGCCAGTACTACCACTGTGTAATCAGCTAACATTGAAATGATGCCAGACCGCACTATCTTGAAATAAAGGTGTATTCTTCAGACTGACTGAACCATTCCTTCTGGCACATTCTGTCCATTAGCGGGACAAAACAAGTAATTCAGCCCAAAGAGTCAACAATGCCAGAGTGAAGAGGTGCTTGTCTACACTGTCCTTTACTGCCTATTCTTTCACAGGTGCTGTATCCATCTCCTTATTCTCTTGATCCTTCAGTCATCCAGCACTAGCTAGCCAGCCGCACGAGGCAGGCACCTCCAAACCCAGTACTTTCCTCAGTTTACTTGAAACTCACTTCCTTAAGCAAAGACATCGTCAAGATTAGTAAATCCAGGTAACAGATCTCTGCAGCACGTAAAAACTGATTAGGCCACAGGGAAGGGAAAATCGATGTGTCTGTTTCTACTACCTCCTTGGCCTGTCTCAGGCAAGATGCTGACGGAGACCAAAGTCCCCACCCAAATACCAAATGCAAAGTCTAGCCTCCCATCCTTAATTAACATTTCAAGTCACAAAGGGTTGGAGTTGTCAAGTTTTTCCAATGAAATACAAACAATATCTCAACTCTCCCCTGGTGCAAAGAGGCAGTTGCAAATCTCCCCCTAAAAACCCCACACAGGACACAGATGAAACCCAGGTGCAGTTTACCTAAGTGTTCACCCCTCCTAGCTTCTGTTACTCTATTTATGACACTTAACTGTGGCTGCCACACAAAAGAGGCAATAGGCAGGGCAGAGCAGTAACTATCTACCACTAGAATGCAGAAGATGGAATCAAACATGTGAATTTGAAGGGAATGCTAAAAATTTAGCTAGAAGAGATCCAGCTTGATCCCATGGGGCCCCATGTGCTGCAAAGACTCTGCAAGCACTAAACTAGAATTTCTCTTTTTTCACGGATACAACCAACTCTTGAATATGAGAGATGCATGGGGAGTGCAATGGAGAGGCTGAATGAGCAAGGGTCCCACTGAGGCCAAGCCCAGACACAAAGGCCACAGATGATCCCACCTCAATGAAATATTCAAAAGAGACAAGTCTAGGGAGTCAGAGAGCAGATTAGTGGTTGCCTGGGGCTGGAGTCAGAAATGGGTAGTGACTGAACATGGGCACTGGGGATCTTTCTGGGGTAACAAAAATGTTCTAAAAGTGGGTTGTGGTGATGACGGCACCAAAAAAAAAAAAAAAAAACACTGAATAAGTACACGTAAAACAGGTGAATTTTATGGTATGTAAATTTTACCTGAACAAAGCACTGACATAAAATATATATATATATATCGTGTGCTGCAGATAAAAAAGAAAAGTTGGGAAGAATCAGTTCTCCAAGCTCCTCACTCTTATACAAATGCAAACTGAGACCCTGCAGGTGGGTTGCTTACTAGCACAGCTAAGGCTAAAGGGCCACAGGAAAATAAATTCTACGGAGTTCAGCTCTGAGATCTTCTGCTACTTTATTTCACTTGGAAGTGTCCTTCAGAACCTAAAGTATTTAACTTAATTTGCACAAATTGGCCAACATTCCCAGGAGCTCTCACCAAAACAAAGGGTAAACATCTTAATAAAAATGATATTGATAATCTGTAATATAGCAGTCTTAGACTTAGTCTCAGGTAGCGCACACACGACAGGGCAAGGCAGGAGTCTCTCCGGCCCACCTTGCCGACGAGCTTCCTGCACTGCATTCCTGAAAATCCGGATGTTCAGCAGTGTGCTCAGACTGCGACAAGCAAAGAACCGAGGTCGCTGAAAATGTGATCCCGGAGCCCCTACGGGAGCCGGCCCGGAACCGTGGGTGCGCCGGGAAGCTGAGGGCCAGCGCCGGGGACACGGGTTCACTCCGTTGAAGTTTATTTCACGGGGAGAAAACGGTGAGGCTGAGCAAGCTAGCACCCCGCGTGAGCCCGGAGAAAGGGCCGGGCAGGGCCGCCCAGCCGCAGCCCGCCGAGCACGGCCGCACGCGCTGTTTCGGGTGCTGGAAAACGCCCGTCAACCCGTCCGCCGGTCTTCCCGTCTGTCCCCCGCCCCACGCTCCTGTGCGGCTCCCGGAGGGTCCAGGGGCGCAGGGAGGCCCCGGCCCCGGCCGCCGCCGGCGCACACCCCCACCCTTGGGGCCTCGGGCGCGCGGGCGGCTGCAAAGGTCGGCGGGTCTGGGAACGAGCCTCCGCCTAACCTACCTGCTGCCGCCTCAAGCTCGGGTCCCGCGGTCCCGGGATAACGGCACCTCCACCGCGAACACGCCTCGCGTCTCCATTCGGGGCTGTTTACCCCCAACTCTCGCGAGACTGCGCGACCGGGGCGGGGAGACCGACGGCTGGGAGTGCCGGGAGCGCCGGCCCTGCCGGCTGTGCGTCCCCTGCGTCCCCTGCGTGGGCCTGCGTGCGCGCTCCGGACGCCGGGGGCCGCTGGGCCCGGGCCGGGCGGACAGACAAAGGTCTCGCGACACTTGCAGCCGGGGGGGGCTGGTGGGGGTGTTGGGCAGTGGACCCTCGGGATGGTTGGACGTGGGACCCGAAAGCGGCCGTGCGGGGCCAGGGCCCAAGGATGACGATCCTGGCGGAACGGCCAGCATTTGCCGTAAACGCCCGAGAGCTCCCAGCGCAGCGCCCTCTTCCTGGGGCCCGACGGGGTCCGGATCCGGGGCCAGGCTCGGGCGGCACCCCCAGGCACGCACTTCTGCAAGCCTCTGCCCATTTGTCCGACGCGGCCGCCGGGCCGGGCCCGGGGACCCCCCACTGGCGGGCGAAACTGCCGCCCCAGCCGCGCTTGCTCCGCCCGCCCCGGCTCCGGTCTGCTCCCCATTTCGCCGGGACCACGGATGCCCAGTGGTTACCCTATTGACGAACAAGGCTTGGTGCGTTCAACTCTGAAACGCTGGCCTCCCCCGGAATGCCTGCGTGGTTTAGGTACTAGGATCGCGGGCTGTTTTCTGCCCACGCGTGGAACCGGCCCACACTTGGCGCTGCGTACGGGTGGAGGACGGAAACATGTTCTTGGTAGTGCTTTTGAAAAGGGATGTGCTATACAGTCAGATAAAACTGTTTCTATCTTGTTTGACTTTCCACAGCAGCACGATAGTGCTGAGGGGCACCAACAGGACACGAAAGCACAGCACTTCGTATTCCCTTCATCATTCTTTAACCAAACTGGTCTAGTATACTAAGTTAATACACCATCACCCACTAGATTTGTGATCTTGGGCAAGTTGTGCCCCGGCTCAGTGTACCTCACCTTCCTTACCCGAAAGACGTATTTGTATCTCACAGGATGAGGGTTCAATGAAACACCATGTTCCATAAACAATGGTGCTTAGTATCTAGACCCACCTACACCTACACCTGATTAAGTTCTCCCCATTCTGAGATCGCATCCATGTTAGGAACTTCCAGAGAATTCTTGACTCTTTCGCATTCACAAGTCCTCTAAGTGAAGCAGTGCCTGCTGCCACCATATAACACACTTGAGCTTAAGCTCCACTGTGGTGTTCTAATGTGGGGTGAACTGGTCTAGGCCACGGTTCTTTTAACAGGCCTTGAGGTCACTGTGCCATTGAATACACAACCCAACTGTCAGTAACTGAGGTAGGCTAGTGAGCTGCAAAAATCCTTGTCGTGTGATAGCAAAGCCCCAAAGTAGGGAACCCAGCACTGCTGCCGGTTCCAAGAACCCTATAAGCTGAAGGGGGGAGTATGAGAGAGGTGTTTTGGAAATCTACCAAGAAAGGATGAGAGCCACAGGATCCTGGTCTGTCGGTTTTCCACCACTCCAGGTTCTAGAATAACTTCATGCTTTATGTGTATAATAAGGAATCTGCAAATTCCACGGGAAGGTATATCTTTATTCAAACTGAATACTATTTTAAAGAGTAACAGCCGAGCCAGCAGTGAGACAGACACACAAACAGACTGGACTTGGTTTAGGAGGGCACACGATGTCAAGACTGAGACGACACCACCTAAACCCCCTGGTTCCCAAATGTGGTACGATTTTGAGTAACAGACATTAAAACAGAGCGAGACTCCTCAAAAGCGCTCTCTCCTTGCTGTCTCCCTTTTTCTTTCTACTCTTTTGAACCCACTACAATCTACCCTTCATCCCCACCATGCGACAAAAATGGCTCATGGCAAAACCAGCAGTGATCTCCACGTTGCCAAAGTCGATCAAAATCTACCTTCAACTGTTTACTCAACCTATCAGGAGAATGAGATCAAGAAATCTACTTAGTCTATTTCAAAAGACTTAATAGACACATGGTTATGCACAATTTTCTTGCTGAATTACCAGCTTTTAAGGAATTAGTACCATAAGTGTTCATAGATTAAATTAATTTTAAAGTAACTGTTTCTATGGGGAAAAAGCTCTCTCATTCCAAATACAAATACATGGAGCAAAACCTCTCCCACAGGAAGCAGAAGCAGTTTTTATTGTTAAATTTTCAGTTTACAGGTTGTTTCAAAGGTTCTTAATTTTCCACATTCTTAGTAAGAAACCCCATCTACAGTGGCCCAATGATGATTCTCAGATGAGCTCTGGGAAAAAGTATTTTATCAAAGGGGAAAACTAAGGAAGATTCTTGGTTTTGATCTTTCACTAGCTTTGCACCCGTCAGCTTACTTACACAGGTCCTGCCAAGTAGAGAATTTGCAAATATCACTGACATGATTTACTTTTTCTCATCATTTGGCAGTGACTCAGTCTGTAACCTATAAATAGAAACACTGCTGTGCCACGTAACTCCCGAGATAGAAATATGGTGCTTTTACATACAGTTGCTGCTTCTTACTACATGTCAATAAAATTCAGGTTGATGTGGCAGGAAGTCAAATTTTCCCTAGTCTTAATGACCATAAGTTAATTGTTAGGTGAGGGAAAATAGCCAAATGTGACAAAACGAAGGCCTCCAAGCAGACTCCATCAACACCTTCCGTGCTGTGTAACACCGCTAGCAAGTTTTCATATCTGAAGGTCTTCTTTGGTGTAATGAAGGCCTGGTCTATACCTGGAAGAGCTTCTGAACTCAACCACTGATCTTCCGAGTCCAAGTCCGATCTGGAAACAGTGAGGCACTGACAAAACTGTGGGTGTGCCATAAAGGCATGGCCAGGCCTAACTCCTAGTGGAATACCATCTCAGATGAAAACAACTCCATACAAGTCCTGATTTCAGCCAATTTACTAGTTTCTGCATCAGTGTCACAGTAATAAACTCCAAATTCTTAACTTGCATACATTGTCACATTCATATAGTGATTTACAGTTGCTGAAGCACTAGAGAGTGGTCCCCAAAAATGTCTGGCTTTATAAGATCCAAGCCAAAAAACATTTATTTCACAGTAGGTGTCAAAGCTAACCCCTATCATGGGGGGTTGCGCACAATGATCGTCACACCAACCAACGCGTTCACTGTAATGCGTAAATTTGTTACACAAACCAAGAATGAGCTTCTAACTTATTTTAACACATTACTATATATCACACACATAATTTGTCCGTATTTTAACCACTATTCCATAAGTAATTGATGTTTACTCCAATAATGCTACTATAAGAGAATATTACATAGAAAAGTGTATGAAAACCAGATATAACAAGCTCTAAAGGGCTAAATTTCAGTTATAAAATGGGTCATAGGCTGAGAAATCACTACTTATCCACAATAATTATAAATCAAGAGATAACTGAGGGTCAACCATTATAGGTTCAAATCTAAGAAAGAATGAATCAATTCCACAGATTAAAAAAAACCAACCACCAACATAATGTATGATATTATACATGGCAAACCTATAGCACAAAATTGGGTAGGCTTGTTTAGTGCGAAAAGGAGTAACCTAGGATTTCAAGACCCCGTTAAGTTTCCACGTTAAGCCACCTTAGCAAGACATCTTTTTTAAAGTAACTTACCCATAAATAAAGTTGCCCGAATGTACACAACATATATACACAGATGGTTCTCTAGTGAAATATCGCTTGAAGAGCAGCATTTTCATACAGAGTCAAACAGAGCTATACAATAGGATATACAGGGATTTCTACTGCTAATTACACCAGCGATCTTACTTATAACACTTTCAAAGTCTTTCCTGATGAACATTTGAAAACCAATACTGTAATTCATGTACCGAAATGATTTCCCTTAAAAAACAACACTGGAAACTACGAGAGCTGACAAGTCATTATATTTTAATATCAGATTGCTATAGCTCCTAGAACAACATAAATCACATGGCTTTGAGACAGCTTCGAGAAAAAAAAAGAGAAGCATTACAATTTAGGTTCCCTCAATAGGTTCTTGTGCCTCAGTCACTGTGTGCTCTGTGCCATCCACATGATGCGGCCCTTGTGGTTTTTCCACAGCATTTTCTAAAAGTATTATGTGTGCTTTGCAAATGATGAGTCAACAGTATGCTAAATCAACCAGTAATAAAACCAGTAATAAAAGAAAATACAGAAGATAAATTAAATGTGTCCTTCCAAACGTCAGAATACTGCAGGTTCCCAGGAGGTGGCAAAACTTCCCAAACCATCATGCAGTTTCATGCTTTGCAGGATAAGGCCTCCTTACGTAAAGAACGATTGAGAACATTTGCTCCCCACACCCAGAGCCATTCAGGCATATACTGTGCAAAAAGAAACTAAAAATGAAAGAGAAAAAGGTTAGAAGGTTAGAACCCAAAGCACAGACCCTTAAGTGTCAGTATATGACTTAATACAACAAACATCACCAAAGTAAATATAAAAAAAAGGAAAAGCCCTTAGGTGCTCTTGTACCCAAGCACCTATTTTTGCAAAAGAACCTATGCTAGACTCCCTGGGAATACAACACACATGACCACTGCCTGCCCACCCCTTCTCTAATGAGGCTGGACAGACTCACACGCAGTAATACAATCCCATTCTTACTTAACCCGGTATCAATAACACATTCATTTGGTTAGGAACGACAAAACCACTCGAGGAACAAAGGGCAGCTGAAATGGATAAATGCATCCGTGATTAGTACTGTGTGAGGGGCAGGCTGGGGTGAAATGAAACAAGAGGGATATATGGCAATGTCCAGAAACCTTCCTGGTCGTCACACCTGGGGTGCTGTTGCTACCGGCAGCCAGTGGGTAGAAGTCAGGGATGCTGCTGAACAGTCTACAGTGCCCAGGACAGCCTCCCCACAAGGGATTATCCAACACCAAACGCCAACAGTGCTGATGGGGAGAAACCCTGCACTGTGCGGACGCGTTTGTCCAAGACTGAGCTGAGCACAAGTTCTAACTGTATTAGAACTTGTGCTACTGTAAGGAAGGGAGATGAATGG